AGTGAATATCACTGGGTTCATTTTTCCCACATGGGGGAATTCAGTAACACCCCTTGGCTTCATATGCATTTCCATGTGAGATATCATTTTGTCAGATTGCCCATCTGCCTCACAGCAACAAAACACAAGTTAATATTGATGGAAAGGTTCCATCATTACTGCCCTATCACCAACATCCACCTCTGATGCTGTGGGCCAGCATAATAAGCAGAACTACTTTAGGAGCAGGTCTCATATTAAATGAAAACTGCCATGTTTAGGTTTAAAACTAGTTGTCTTACTACCCTTTTAACACACATACTATTCCATTAGTAACTTACTCTGGATTACCTCTTGAGGTACTACTGTTTAACCTGTTGCCTGAAAAGTGAGGCACTGGGATACTACCATTTGGCATGGCCATCTACCTGCAGTCATTCTCCAGCAGCTGCCAAGATTATTTTAAAATTATCCTTATCCGCAACTCCCAAGTAGCCAAACAATTATTTGTACAGAACTATAAGGAAAGCTGCTTAGCAAGTTTAACTGTTCTGTTTACAGCTAGATGAAAAATTTTCATGAAGTGTTGGTCATTCTGTTTGTTACAGCCAAAAAATTAGCACAGTGGAAAGGCAACACAGGAGTGGAATGGCAAAAAGATAAACAGGAAAGGAATGCTCACCCATCTCCAAAGATCTAAGTTCACTCCATAACAGAGGGATCTCCAACCAGAGATCCTTCCCCCGTGGCAGTCAGCCCTTAAATGAGGTCTAAGAGAGGTGCAGCCAGGCTCCACCCCTTCCAGTCCCACAGCTGAATTACTTTCACTTGTGCTCCCAGGGCTGACTGGGTCCTTTCTCCAGATGCCCAATCAGTGATTCAGGCCAAGATTCAACAGTTACCATACACTATTCCTTATCACACACTGCACTGAGACAGTAAACATACCTGTGACAGAACAAAACGTTCATTAAAGTAGGTGAGTAGGTCTTCATTTTGATAATCAAGAGGTAACAGAGCTGTTTTAAAAGAATTATCTTTAAAGCTTTTATTATGTGTATGTCAACATTTTCACAATTATTTAGTTCTGAAGGAAAAGTGGTGCTTAAGTTAAATCAATATTTACAAAAGTCAGCTGGTTTGGTTTCCTCAGCTAAGTGTACCCTGTCTTCAGAGATCAGAATAATTTCAATAAATCATCAGGATCAACTGAACAAATCATCAAATCAAAGCACCAAGTAATCAAACTGAACAAGTTGATACTCAACTGCCACTAATTCGCAGTAATCTCTGAGCAAGAGTATGGCATTGAGTCCCTCTGTGACTTTGGCAAATCAGGTTACCAAGGAAGTCAAGTTTATCCATAAATAGGCACAGTATTTGCACTTGAAGTACTGCAAAGCAAGATTTTGCACAAAGGTTTAAACCATTACTTTTTTTCCATACTTAGAGAGCTAGCAATGGCTGTGCTAAAAAAGATGCAATGATGGATTACTCAGCCTCCAACTGAAAACTGCAGAGAAATAATGAGTGAAACAGGTGGGAGGAGATTCACAATGCCTTCCCCCTCATGCAGATAGCATGCATTTATAACTTAATATTTATAGTTGAATAGTGAGCTGGAATGAAGAACACAAAGTCTACTTGATAAACTGACTGTAAGCAGAGCAAATGGAAAAAGAATTTAAGCTTTTTTATCTAAAAGATGTCCACAATCTTTGTAGATATTGTGTAGACAACACTGACATTGAGCCAGGTGTTTTCCCCAAGCAGGAAAACAGCCCACATAAGGAGTTAAGCTTTTTTGCTGGAGTCCATCCGACTAGTAGTCCCCATTGGATTATCCATTGCCATAACACTGCTTTGACCCTGTTCTGGGAATGTTATACTAATAATATGGCTCAGGTAGATACAGGAATTGTCCAGGAAGTTTACCATATAGACAGCCTTTTAAATTATTTTTTAAGCTAGACTGGAAAAAAAGACAACATTTTAATTAATGATTGGTTGCAATTAAGAATGTTTCATTGAACTCTATGTAACAGCTGGAGTTTTGATTGTTTTGTTGTTTGCTCTTGCGTGTTAGCAACATTAGGAGCTTTGCAAAAGTGGTAAATGGCTGATAATGGTGAAAATTGACCTATCTTATTAGGTTAAAGCTACAAAGGGAGAGCCACTTTACCCAGAACTAACCCTCAGCAGAACTATCAGAATTTCCCAGGAAAGGGAATTACACAGGCTCAAACTCACGGCTCAAAAGCAATCACACCAAGAGAGCATCAGAGAAAACGGTACAGCTAAACCTACCAGTAAGCCAATTTCAAGAAACCAAATAGGATTCTCTGCACAGGAGGGCCTGCCATCACATTCTTTGGTTTTCTAATGGCGATCCTGAAGGTGCAGCACAGGAGATTCTGTCCTTCCTGAAGACCAGACTCAGCTGGCTCTTAAGTACAACCAATTCTTTCTTAAATTTGTTGGGAACTGGTTTTTATGTTTGTGCTGTGCAGACAGAATTCCTGTACTTTGAAATTCCCTGGTCTTAATTTGATGTAATGAGCAACAAACAAGCCAGTAGATCCCCTCTGGTTCAAACAAAAACACTGAAGCAGAACTGATCAGCTATTTGTCAGAACAGGGTGAAAGGACAATTTGTAGCTAACATGCTCTAGGGAGTAGAAATTCAGATTGCTGAAGTGTGGCAGAGGTTAAAATATATGCTCTTAGTCTTCGCAACTCTTTTTATCTCACATAGAACAGAATAATCTAAATGATAACCACTTTCTCAATCATCATATAAGGATAATTTCTCTCTACATGGAAAGTGCTTTCCAACTCAAGCCACTATTTATGCTACTTAATGAAGTTCATTCATCTGCAGAAGATCTGCTTGCTATTTTGCAGCTTCTATTGTTTAAAGAGGACTTCTAGGAAGAAACCTGATACGGAATTTAGTACTGTGAAGACTAACTCCAAGCATAACTGAGCATACATTTTCATACTTTAATTCATTAACACAGGCCCACTGCATGAAATCTCTGACAGTCACAATTCTTACTTCTTAAACATGGCACTGAGGCTATATACACTGTTTTAAATGCATTTAACATATAATGAAATTAGTATAGGACATACAGAAGTGCCTCATTACACACCACAGAAAGTCAAATCAGGTTCTGCCCTTGTTTATTCCATCTAATCTTCCTAAAGGAGATCACATGCCTTTAATGCAATACTATTAACATGCACAAGATGGAGGCTTCTGATGCAACTCAGAAAAGAACTCAGATGATGCATTACTCAGAGCTGAAAAAATGAAAAAGCTCTTCAGGTTTAAATGCCTCTTAGGAGAGAGAGAGAAAAAGATACCAGTCTTTTGCTGTGCTATACTAACATTATGATCCCCTGTTCATTGCAGGAGAAATGAACTAAGTGACCTTTAGGGGTTACTTCCAACTCAAACAACTCTGATTCTGTGAAATGGTATCTTAATTGAAAACCTCCTCAGTGCACAGTTTCACCTGAAAATATCCGCTATGCAGATAAATTGTGAGGTGCAAAAGCATCAGCACCTGAATTGGTTAGCATCACAGAAATGTGATTGAAATGACAACAACATCCTAGACCATAGTAACTAAACATTCACTCAAATACAATAGCTCAAGGCACAAAACGTACAAGGAAAAAAAAAACCTGCTTACTCTTAGAAGACCTTAGATATACAGGAATCTCTAACAAAGCACCCTCCCCCTTGCCAGCCCTTAAATGAGGTCTGTAAGGGGTGGATCCTGGCTCCACCCCTTCTGGTCACTCAGCAGCATTGCATGCACCTGAGTTCCCCTGGATTGGCCCTGCCTTCTTGCCAGGTGCTCCATCACTGCTTCAGGACATAACTTAGCATTTCCACCACACATTACTGTGCTTAGTCAAACACACACAAAGTTTGAAAAAATTGATTTGAGTAAAACTTACATTTTACCATACAATTTCATTGCTGCCCCACAGATAATCTAGTGGATGATGGTAACTAGACTTGCTAGCTGTGCAACAGCAAGCAATCCAATAAATAAAGTACTGCAGTTTATCCATGGCTCGAGACAACAGCAGTCACAAACAGCCATCTCAAAATCACTTTACAAATTGCCTTCTTTGTTAGAAGACAAACTGACCAAACTGCTGTCAGCATAAGCTCGTTCCCCCTGCTGCAAATTAGTCATAACACTGCACAAAGCTGTGGTGTGACTTTGGGCAGCCTGGTATGGTGGCTGGCAACCCTGCATACAGCAGGGGGTTCAAACTAGATGATCATGGTGGCCCTTTTCAACCCAAGCTATTCTATAATTCTGTGATTCTTCTTTCTGGAGTAACCATCGTGAAGATCATAGTTGAGACCAAAAATAAATTAAAAAAAAAAAAAGTTCTGAGGATGATTTCGCCTCCTTAACCTGCGGTAGAACAAATTACCCCATCAGCACGCCGCCTCACACACCACACTCCCCTCGCTGCCCGGCTGCGGGGCGCAGCGCCTGTCCCTGGTGCTGAAGGAGAGCGCGAGGCCGGGCGCGTGGGGCCGGGGCGTTCCGTGGCAGACTCCTGTAGCGTGAGGGCCGCGGGCTCCCCGCCGCCACAGCGCCCCTTCCAACGGGGCTGCCGCCTTCCGGAACGTTCCGTGTCCCTCCGAACGCTCCCCACCTCCCGGCCGCCGTCTCGTCCCTGAGAGCACCTGTGTGTGTGCCTTGTAACTGCCGCCCCGGGGCCCGACACGGCTTTGTGTCACTTCGCTGCTCTGCCACCAAAGCCGAGGGACGATCTCAGTTCAAAAACTGGGATTTAAAATCTTTAGGGCGCAGAAAGGAACGCTTGTCGGGAACTCCTCAGCGGCTGCCTCCCTCGCTGCCCACGTCCCCCATCCCCTAGCCACGCACTGCGGCGGCCGCTTTAAGGCCCCACCTGGGCGACAGCGCTCTTTCCCCTCAGGGGCGGTGCAGGGCTGCCCTCGGGCTGCCTCCTGGTGTAGCGGGAGCGTCCGCGGGCCGCTGAGCGCCCGTGCGTGTGGCGGCTCCGTAGCGCTCGGAGTTAGCGGGTGTGCTGCTCGCAGCACCGAGGCTGGCACAGGTGGGTCGCGCCGCGCCGCTGAGGGACGCCGGCGCCCTAAGAGTAGCACGAGCGGCTCTGCTACAGCTCCGTTTGTGCGGAGAGCTGCTGTAGGGAGAAGTGTTTCCCGCTGGAGGCTGTGTGGGGATACAGACGCGGGTGGGTGAGTCTAACTCTAGGGGTGAGAACAGTTTAAGGTTAAACCTCGCGGCACTGTGCGCTTTTGCAGGCGCATCGTGCCTCAGCTGTGCGGCGACTCGTGAGGTATCTGTGCAGGCGGGAGTAGCGGTACAGGAGCTGTCGTCGAAGCCTTGTGGAGCGTTCGCTGTGCCGTGCCAAGCCCCGGGCTCTCTGGAGGCCAGCCAGCGCCGTGCAAGTCCTGTGACATCAGTGTCAGCTCTGTCCCTGCCCTCTGGAGCTGTCAGCGATCTGCACGTAGCCCCTTTCACCCTTTTTTCCCCTGTGCATCTGCTGTTGGTTTTTTTTTGTTTTTTTTTTTTGTTTGTTTGTTTTTTTTTAAGTGGCTTTTTTTTTTTCTTTTTCTCCCGTCGCTTAGAATCCCCTGCGGCAAGGCACAAACGAGAGCAGTTGCAGGGTGGCTGTGAGCATTCCTGGTGCCAGCCCAGAGTTAGAGGAGAGTGACACGCACACAGCCCAGAGTTAGAGGAGAATGACACGCACATAACAGCAAAGCATTTTGCAGCCTTCTTTCTGGTTCAAATACTTCTCTTAGAAAATGAGCTCTGCATTTTAATCCGATTGCTGTTGACTCATTTCACGGTCTGAAGCTGGTAACCTAAGCACTGTGAGTCCAGCCACAGGAAGGAGGTGGTCATGTTTGCTGAAACAGCAGGTATTTTGGTGTTCTTTCTCTTTAAAACAAGTCAGAAACAAACAAGAAAATCTTGTTATCTTGGTGAAGTAGGTGCCACAGAGGTGTTAAGTACTACATGTTATAGTGGATGCCCTTGAAAACCATAGCTGAGATGGTGTGAAGGTGAAAAGTTTGTAATGTACCCTTAAGTCGTTTTGTAAATGGGGTCTCTGCAAATACTGAAGAGAGGTGTGACTGCTTCTTTCCTTCCTCTTTCTCTCTTCCCACAGGAGTGGTTTGCAGTTTAACATAGTTACTGAAACTATTACAGTCTTCTGAAGGTGAAGGTTGGCTATGCTATGACATATATCCAGTCTTTTGGGATAGAAAAAGGAGGCTACTTAACACCCAAAAATAGTGTAAAAAGTGATTTTTCTCTAGTGATGAAAGCATTTACAGTGAACAACCTGGTAGTGAGAAAGTGGGGAACCTGGTGAGTCTGTAAGGTGATATATGCTGCAGCATACAGCCAAACAAAGTGGTTTGAACTGCATTTCTGATGGCATTATATTACAGAGAAGGGGAATAATACTCCATCATCGTATTTCTCTAGCTCGCCTCCCTGGGAATACTACTTTATAGCATATGCTCACTCAGTGCATGTACTGTTGGGACCTACAAACACCAGTATGGGAAAGATAGTAACAAAGCAGAATTAGGTGAAGCTAAATGGTTTTATTTCTTTTGTAGTGTTTAGACAATATATAGTACATATGTGTTTCTATGTTAGATGGGTTGGAGTGAAGATGAGAACCCAAATTCAGCAATTGCTTTCTCATTATTCCATGAGTTTCACAGTCAGCACTGTTAATCCAAAAATACTGGACAACACTAGGACTGCATATATGAGACCTATTTCAACACCTGACTTATTGTCAAGCAACACAAGCTGTTGCAAATCAGATGTCAGATAAACATTCTAACCATCTGCTACTGAAATGTTACAAATGGATGATATAAATGATATAAACTTGTTGCTGCAGTAGTAGTAATTGAAGGCTCTCTTAGGGCATTCTACCATGGGAGTTAAAATATATAATGAGTAATGTGGCCAGCCTAACAAAGTGGTAGCAACTTGAACAGTTGGAATTTCCATGACTTGTTTCCTTCCATCTTAATTTAGCTTTTGCACTAGAGGCTTTTATTTCATTCACTTGATGTCTGTGCACTTCCAAGTATGCAGGTGTAGTTTTCAGAAAGCCTGTTCACTGTAATGCAACATGGTCTCCTGGCATATGTGAATTGTTTCCGCCAGTGTATGAGCTCTGACGTAGCTGTGGAAGGATGGCTGTGCTTGGGCTCTGAGGTATTTGTGGAAGGCTGGAGCACTCTTTTATGTGCATGGAACCTGTTGGCATTGGGACCTATGGTGCCTGGTACCCATCCAGCTTCCTCGCAGCTGTTCCTATCAGTCATATGAGACAACTCTGAGGGGACTTGGTGAGCTCTGAACAAATCTTTGTTTTGGTATCTGGAGAGAAAAATGTCACCTGGTTTCTGGAATGTTTTTTCTTTAAATGTCACTCCTCACATTGGTGCCCTCATTTGACTCCATGTAGCTTCTTTAAGGGAGGGATCTATGCTTGTCATAGATTTTTCACCTAGATGGAGAACATAGGGAAGAAGGCACCCCAAGAGTAATAAAACTCAATTGAGTAAATGAAAAGTGATTTTGGAACAGTCTGAGATGTGGCTATCTAAAGCAAATAAACCTAATCCAAACACCACAAGGTTCTAAAAACAAGAGGATAGTCTACTATGCATATACAGCTTATTTCATCTGCAAGTTTCCCGGAAGGTTTTGTGGCGGCTTGTGCTGATAGCTGTGATGGCAGTGCATCTGCTGCTCCAGTCCATTTCCCTGTGTTTGTTCAGGATATTTGACTTAGCGAGTGCATTTGTCTGTATCACGTCTGAAAACAGATCAGGACTGAAATAATAATCTAGGCAGGCCACTGGCTTTCTGGTCTAAAGGCTGCCCATGGTAGGAGTCAGGAGAACGGGAGCAGTTCTAAGAGCATTCCCAGCAAATGGAGTTGTGTCTGCAGCATGAGCTGCTTCACTGCTTGCAGCTGTCCAGAATAAGGCACAGACATGCAGAGGGGAAACAAACACAGGAGACTGAGGACCTAGAAAGGCTTATGAAGAAAATAATGGAATCTTTTTGCCTCTGTGAATAATAACTGTTGAGTCATGTCCTGAAGCACTGATTGAGCACCTGGGGAAAGGACCTGGTCAGCCCTGGGAGTACAGGTAAAGGCAATTCAGCTGTGGGACTGGAAGGGGTGGAGCCTGGCTGCACCTCTCTTAGACTTCATTTAAGGGCTGACTGCCACTGGGGATGGCTCTCAGATGGAGATCCCTCCCTTGTGGAGTTCTTCCCTGTGAGCCTAGATTTTAAATATGGGTGAGCCATTTTTCTTTGAAACACACTTCCATTGTGCCAGTCCCTTTGTATTACACCTCCTCTATCACCACTCCACTGCACTGATCTTTCTGATTGTTACACTCTCCAAGAGGCACCCAATAGTGTGAGCAAATGAAAAGGACTTCATCCTGTTTTGTTGAAGGGCAAAGTGGGCAGGACAGTGGTGTATCTCCTACTTTTTCTTCATACAAGTGCCAAGCTGTACTGAATATTCATGTGGGTGCAAGCAGAAACCAAGGAAGTAGAAAATGAGTTAAACCTCAGTTTAACATGTCCTTCAAATGGCAGTGCCCCTAATGAGATTATCACTTCAGTTTCATAGCATGCTGCCCAACCTGAAGGCCTCAGAGACCCTTTTAGATGTCCTAAACTGATAAGTGGGTGGCATGTTATGCATGTGAAAGTAGGATAGAAGTACATAGTGTTTGATTAAACAGCAATTCTATTTCTTAATGCTTAGTTGTTCAGCTTGCTGTCTGTGCAGTTTAATTCTGCTGTAGCTTTTGCAATTTTTTTCCCAGTGAATGTTTAAGTATAGGAATGAATTGATCATCCATAAAAACATAACCTCTCCTCTCTCTTTTTTTTTTCTTTTTTTTTTGTTCTTTGCTAGTGAAGAAATGGCTTGCCATGTTTGGTTTACTCTCATTTTTGTTGCACTCACCCGAACCTTTGTAATTGAGCTAAGAAAAGATAGTAGAAAAATGCAGTGAACTCCTGGGAAAAAGGAAGGAATAATGCAACTGGAACTTCTTTCATGTGTGTCTGTGTACTTTCAGAATTAAACATTAAAAAAAGAAATACTGCATGTGACTTGAGGCTTACTAGATTTATTGTCAAGCCTGGAAGTTCTGTGGTTCAGAGTGCAGAAAGTATGTTTTCTTTCTCCCCTCAAAATCATCATCTAAGTATCACTGCTTATGGCTCATACAGAGATAAACAATGAATGTTGATAATGTTAAAAAAAAAAAAAAAAAAAAAAAAAAGCTATAAATACGTGCATAGATAGGTATTTGTATGACTTCAACCTGTTTTCTTTCAATCTGTCTTCCTGTTTTTTTTGATTTTTGTTTTGGGCCAGTTCTACTGACTGAGTACAACTTTCACTCAAACCCACTACACCTGCCATGTTGTTGTAAATTGAATTTGGGATTTGAAAATGTGGTTATGTTTGTCCTTCCATCTTTGTGCAGGATAATTATTCCCTTGTATAGTTGTCTTTTCTGCCAGTATTCATACAGAACAAGCACTTACTGCCTTGTGGCTTTGCAAGAATTATTGATCTACTTCACAGATGAGCAGAGAGGCCATGACAGTGTTTGTTCTCTGTAGTTCAGCCATCAGTTTTTTGTGACATTAAGAGTGGTGCATGGGCAGACTTACTATCAGTGTTCAAATGAGCTAGTGCATAGGTCTTGGTTAGTTATTAGAGCAGAGCCTTTGCTTATTTTTCAACTTAACATAATGGGAATTTCTTTGTAATATGTGGGTAAAAGCAGGGGTGCTGTGGAAAGTGTACTAGAGAACTTCTGGAGGTCCTGCAGAAATTAATGACTTAAAAGTGGTATTAAAGATTACAGCTTTATCCTAACAGCAGAAGCATTTCATTTATCTTAGATCTGCCAACAGTTTAGAAGTTCCCCTTCCTTCAGATTCTCTAGTTACTTTCAATCCAGAGCTGAAATGTATTTGATATTCCAAATGAGTTACAAAGGTTGTATGAAACACCTAGCATGAAGAGAATATATGAAAAGTTATGGAGTGAGTTTAGGAAACAGCTAACTAATTATGTTCTTAGCCTTCCACTTAATTTCCATGTCTTTAGACAAGTTGTATTGAGAACAGTATGACAGCTATGAGATGAAACTACGCTTTTGCTATGTGGATTATATGCTGCTTAGAAATCATTCATAATACCTGCATTCTAAGAGAAAAAAATGTAGTTGCCCCTTTAGTAAGCTTAAGTTATGGTACCATGAGCCAATAATGAAATCAAGGACTCTTTTTTTTGGTTCCAAGTGAGTGTAGTATATAATTTGCATTTAACAGATTCATGTAAGATAAGCACTCCTTTGGTGCCCTTCCTGCTACATATAGTAGGAACTTGTTTGTAGTGTGTTATGTATTGCTTTGCAGTGTGTTCTGAAGCAGAAACTAATTGGCTATATTGTTATTTAACAAATCAGTAGTGAGATTTAGGTGTTTGGGATTTTAGCATGGGACTTCATTTTATTTCAAAATGTTTTTCACCCATGGACTAATTGAATGTGAAGAGGGGTTTGAGAAGCCCAGAAAGATCTGTCCCCCTCCCTGGGGGCTATATTAGACCTCTGAGTCATGAAGTCTTTGCATAGTAGGTGTCTGGTTACAAACCTTTTATGGGCCCTACTCAGCTGAGATATCAGCATCTGCATTATAGCTCCCAACTATTCTTAGGTGATATCCCAGCACGACTGAACAGGCAAGGCAGAAAGATTTGCTTATTTATATGAAACTCTTCCCTCTTCTCATACTACTTTTTCACACTTTCTCTGTCTACCCCATCCTTCTATCCTGCAGTGCCTAGCTGGCTTGTGAGAAAGGTACAGAATGGCTTACAGCGTGACTCTGAATGGACCTGGACCGTGGGGCTTCCGACTGCAAGGGGGCAAGGACTTCAACATGCCTTTGACCATCTCCAGAGTAAGTGAACAAAAGGCTTCGTTGAGCTTGTCTAAGTTGGAAAGTAGCAGTAAACTGATTGTATGACCTGGCCAAATAAAGTAAAGGATCTTTGCAGGTAGGTCTGATGAAAGGATCTGAGAATGCAATGTGGAATTCAGATACATCAGTTCAAGGCAAAGCCTGATGTCTCAAAGGCACATCTTGCTGGTGTATTTTTAAAAATGATGATGAAGTCTCTTTCAAATGAACTTCCAGTTCTGTTTTGTGCAGTGTTCCTTTTTTCCATGGCAGGGGCCCCCCTGATGCAGTTTATTTGGGGGGGGAAAGGATTAGAAGAACTGTGAATGTGAACAAGCAATGGCATTTCAGGGAAGAAACTATGTGACAGCTTGTAAATATGTGAAATCTATGTCCTCTCAAATTAAGTAGATATGTTCCTCTTTGGAAGCAGTTGGAATAACTGGATGAAAATTAGGCATGTCAAACAGAAAATTCAATAATGCTTAAATGAGGACTTAAATTATGCAGGAGCCTTCCATTTCTAGCTGATGAACAGTATGTAACTTAATTATTAATTACCCAGTGTATCTGTTGATTATAGATGAGTGCATTTATTTCCCAGTAATCTTTCCCCCCCTCTAACAACGATATTTCAAGGCATTGCAATGGAGCGTTCTTGTTATCTGATAATGTCATTTCCACAGAATTTCTTAGGGTTGAGTGACTATCAAAAAATTCACAAGCATTTATCCTCCTCTTTTCTTACTGTATTCTATGTAACTTCTGATTTGGTAACTCTGCTTCACGCTACTTCTTACAGCTCCCTCCTCCTTTTTTGACAGCCTCAAATCCTTTCTAGAATGTTCGGCTCTGTAGAGGTGTCTCCACAAATCATCTGCAGAAGGCTTATTGTTTTGCAAAGCAATGGCTATAGAAGTTACTTAAGTGTTTAAAGAAATACCAGAATGATTTAAGAAGATGAGTAGAATGCAAACAAATGGTCTGCTCCACTGGAGTGGGGAGGGATGGAAACCACCTCCACTACTTTGAAAATAGTTCTTTTATAATGAAGAGAAAATCTGTTAAATTATAGATAGCAAATGGATAACTCTGCAACAATCGTGATTCAGAGTCACCAATGAGCTTCTTAAATCTTAACTATCCTATTTCTTATTCAAACTGCAGTGCTCTTATTTCATCTCTTATTCTAATGCACAATATTTTCTCCATAGAAACATATTTACCTTAATGTGAAGTTGTATAATGATCAGAAGAGTTTTTTATTTTGCAGAAGCAGTCTTTGTTCCATAATAATAGCAAAGAAAGCTGCCTTGTTACAATAACAAAAAGCAACAGTGAACTCTGCCCAGATAATGAAAGTCTCTTTATTAACTTGAACTAATTTCACTAATGCTTTTACTATCTGTTGAATACTTTTAGTATTTCCTTATTAAGCCCAAATTAAGTATGTAGAGTTGCCAACATAATTCTGTAGGCATTTTCATGACATTTTGCAGCCTGCCCTGTAAGATATTTAATATTCAAGCAGTTCATTTGTGCTGGGAGTCCTTCATTGAGGGGTCAGGGCTGTGGCACTTGCATGTTATGTGACAGCTAGAAATGAAAAGCTCTTGTTTCCAGAAGAACCTATTGTCACAAGTTGCAATCATGTAAGGCATACTCAGTGTACCAAAGGCTGCATGATTATCCTGGGGTTTTCATAACTTGTGATGAGCATAAGCGGAACTGCAATAGTTGGATTCCCAGAGGTGAGGAGGTATTACCTCTTTACACAGCTGGCTGTGTTTTCTTAGCAAGCAATAGAAGCATCAGAAAGCCCTGTTAAGTATCCTGGAGTCCTCCCCAGTGAGGCTCAGTTTTTTAGCTGAGAGCTTTGTAATCTGCCTTGGGGGAAAAAGCAGGCATACAGAAATGAATATAGTTTCTTGTAGGGAGGGCTAGAGTAGGAGCTATTTTTAATTGGAACGCAGTATAATACATGGCTTTTGCCAAAGAAAAAAATAGATATTGCAGGGACATTATCATCTTTCACATGAGTATGTATTCAAACAGGTCAGATATTTCCATTATCAGCAATTTACACTTGTGTGAGATAAGCTTTGAACTCACCCACATTTGCAATCTTACTGTGGGGAAAGAGGAAAATATACTGATTTCCAGGGCGCTCTTGACAAGAGAGGAGACAAAAACAAGTAGCAAGGAGTTGAAGTCATACTTGCTTAACAGTTAACTTAAAAAATAGTCTGAGAGGACTTCAAAAAGGAGACTGTCCCCACTCTACAAGACATCCTATACTTTAGAATAAATTCTGTCATGAGATGTAAGGGACAGGTACTGGAGGTAGGAGAATTGACAGGCATAGTGAAGCTGAGCATCTATCTCTCCTACTGAAGTGAATGGGAGCTGTAGACTGTTGGCACTGCAAGAGCTGTCACAGGTGGCCTGATCATATGTGCAAATCCAAAATTAACATGGGCAGCAAAGCAGTTTGTTTTTTTCACACTGCTTGCATGAACTGTCTAGGAGCAAGCAGAATTAATTAATTTTGTGGATGTAACCTGTGCAAGTATAGTTTAATGTGTTGTGCTGTTACCTAAGATTGGGTGATTGTACATGGATGGATGCAGCAGCAAAGTCTCTTCATGTATGATGATTGCTGAACAACAAATACTATTGGGGAGGCAGACTGGCTTACAGGTGTTTAAATGAGCTGAAAGGTATGCAGAAATATTGCCTCAAACAGTAACAGCTTGTGACTGGCATTGCCTAGGCTCCAAATCGAAAGTCAGAGCCCGGAGCTGAAGGAGATAGAGTTAAACAAAACATAAGAACTGTTTGGGTTTTACTTTAAGTGAAGAAGTAGTTGATATCTGATCATCATGTAAGTGAAATAAGGAGAAATGGGAAATACCAATAGAGAAAAAAAATATTAGATGGTCAGTATATTTATTTTGATACGAATGGCTTGAAACATTTATTTGGACGGAAAATGAAGCAAAGCTATTCTAGCGTTTCACATTTCACTTTCCTGTGCTCTCTGGCATATATATGTCAATCTCCCACTGTGGCTGTGTTTCCTGTACAGAATCTTGTGATTACTTATTCTGTACTCTAATTTGTTTAATTGCATGTAGGGTATCAGTGTCTTACAACAGGCAAGTGATGGCAAAAGGACAGCCTCTTGGCTTCTTTTCTCCTATACCTGAAGGCAGGAAACCTCAGGTTATCCAGGACAATCACTATGTATTCTCTAAATGTCTCTTGGATGTGGTGACCATACATTATAAGAGTGAACTGTACCTTCACTCAGTTAAATGAAGGCATTGAACAAGATCACTTGAAATGCTGGTCTGCATCATGTGTTACACATCCATATCTGGTAAATCTAATCACTGAGTAGTTGCAGTTCTAATCACACAGTAGCTTCTATAACTGTAGCGTGAAGATCATTTGTCTCATCTCCAAATGTAAAGTCTTTTGCAACCTTAAAAGGCATAAATCAGCATTTAAATAGTTGATATTTTACATAGCTAATAGGTAGGTCTTATGTACTCTGAAAGTCTTCCTTTTTATATGCTGATGGTTAGAGATTTTTCCCTCTTTTTTTTCCCTCCAAAACTCAAATGACTTTGAATCAATATCTGAGAGAAGGAGTGAGCCATTGGACTTATATGTAATGACTGTCCTATGGCTAGATAAGCTGTGGTAACATCTTGTCACAGAATTTCAGGGCTTGGAAGGGACCTCAGATCTTGAGTCCCAGCCCTCTGCTAAAGCAAGTTTCCAACAGCAGGTCACACAAGTAGGCATTCACATGGGTCTTGAATGTCTCCATAGAAGACTCCACAACCTTTCTGGGCAACTTGTTCCAGTGCTCCATTACCCTTACCATAAAGAAGTTCTTCTGCATGTCTGCACAGAATTTCCTATATTCAAGTTTTAGGCCATTGCTCCTTGTTCTATCCACTATATACTACTGAGAAGAGCTTGGCCTCATCCATGAGGCCTTCTACCTCATAAGGGAGATGCTCCAGGTCCTTTATCATCTTTGTGGCCATCTGCTGGACTCCTTCTAGGAGATCCCTGTCTTTTTTTTGAACTGGGGAGCCCAGAACCAGATGCATTTGAAGTGTGGCCTCACTGGAGCAGAGTAGAGGGGGAAGATTACTTCTCTTGACCTGCTGGCCTTGCTCTTTTTAATGCACCTCAGGATACCACTGTCCTTTTTGGCCACAAGGGCACACTGCTGGCTAATGGCCAACCTGTTGTCCACCAACATATGCGTAGGTGGTTTCACATTCTTTCAGTCTTCTATAACTTGGCTTCAAAAAGGTCTTTGTGACAGAGAAGAGCTGTCAAAGCAGCTTTTAAGAACACTCCAAAGCTTTCCTACCTTTTAGTAATGTGCTATCTATTCTGTGGCCATCAGTATTTCTTCAGGAGGGTCTTTAATTTGTAGGCTGCTTCTTGAATGATAGTCTTACCCAAAAATCACAGGATACTGAAGTTTATTACATGAAGTCATTTGTTGTATGTGTGTATTGATACAGAGAGAAAATGCTGATTACTTTAGATGGTATCTTTGATTTCCAGTTAATTTACCATCCAATTCTGATATGTTTACCATCCCAGATGTCTGAATTGATTGCATTTCTGTGGATTACAATTCTACAAGTAACTCCTGAAACCCCTAGTTTGGTACTGTTTATCTGAGGTATCGCAGTAGTCAGCATTGACACTGAATGACAATACAGTACAGAGGGTATTTATGTGACAGGGCTATATCTCAGCAAGCACAAGCATATGTTGGATTAGCAGGAAAGGACCTAATGCTCCAGTGGTGTTCGCTTCCTCTGGTCCAATAATTATGATGGGTTTTGGGATCGGGGATCAGAACATCCTTGGATACTAGACACTCAGTTCAAGCCTTTACTCTGAAAGAAAGTAGAACAGAGTTCTCAAGTTGGCTGTTCAGGTTCTCTACGAAATGTGGGATT